GCAGGACCTCATGAGGAAGGTTATTGGTGGGTAGGGAACCCTCTTCTCCCTACTCCAGAAGCATCTAAACAAGGGGTCAGCAAATCATAGCCTGTTGCCTGATTTTGTGGTTTTACTGGAACACAGTCACACTCATCTATTTATGAATTAACCACAGCTGCTTTCGTGTTGTAACATCAGAATTAAGTGGTTGTGACAGTAATCTTATGAACTGCCAAGGCTAAGGTATTATCTGGTCCTTGCTGAACCGTTCTAAACAATAGAGTGAAGTCTAAGGGGCTAGAGGCTGCTGTAGATTATCAGATTTAATAAGGGCCCAAGATGACAGACAACTAAGAACCTGACTGATAAAATTTAGTAGTCACCTTTTCAGGGACAGAATGGTTGGAGGGAAATAGGTTTCAACAAATGGTACTAGGACAAATGGATATCCACATGCAAAAAGTGAAGTTGGACCCCTTCTTCACACCATATACAACAATTCACTCAAAATGGATTGAAGACCTAAATGTATAAAATGTCTAGAAGTTACAGAGGAGTAAATATTTATGATCTTGATTTAGGCAATGGATTCTTAGATATGATACCAAAACCAGAAGGAACCAGAGGAAAAAAAGGTATGCTGGACTTCATCAAAATTAAAAACTTATGTGCTTCAAAGACACCATCAAGAAAGTGAAAAAAACCACTAAAAAAAAAAATGAGAGAAAATAATTATTTATCTGCTAAGGGATTAGTATCCAGAAAATTAAAGAAATCTTGCAATTCAACAATAAAGACAAACAACTCAATTAAAAATGGGCAAAAGAGGGGCGCCTGGGTGGCTCGGTTGGTTAAGCGACTGTCTTTGGCTCGGGTCATGATCCTGGAGTCCTGGGATCGAGTCCCGCATCGGGCTCCCTGCTCAGCGGGGAGTCTGCTTCTCCTTCTGACCCTCCCCCCTCTCATTTGCTCTCTCAAATAAATAAAATCTTTTTTTAAAAAATGGGCAAAGGAAAACAAGGAGACTGATACTACATGACTTCAAGAGTTAATACACAGCTACAGTAATCAAGACAGTGTGATATTAGTGAAGGAGTACACAGAAAAATGGAACAGAACAGAGCCCAGAATTACCTAAACAAAGAGAGGCAACTGATCTTTGACAAAGGATCAAAAGCAATTGGATGGAGAAAGGACAGTCTTTTCAACAAAGGGTGTTGGAGCAACTGGATATTCACATGCCAAAAAAACAGATGCAGACCTTACATTTTTTGCAAAAAAATCAGTCAAAATGAATCAGACCCAAATGTGAAATACAAAACTATAAAACTCCAAAATATAACATAGGAGAAAATCTAGGTGACTTCATGATGATAACCTAGTTTTCATGATGACTTTTTAGGTACAACATCAAAACCATGATCCATGAAAGAAAAAATGGACACATTGGACTTACATTAAAATTAAAAACTTTTGTTCTGTAAAAGACTGTTAAGAGAATAGACAAATCAGGGACTAGGAGAAAATATTTGCAAAACACCTATTTGATGTTTTGATGAAGGCCTAGTATCCAGAATATATTTTAAAAACCACTTAAATCTCAACAAAAAGAAAACCACCTAATTACAAAATGGGCAAGAGATCTGGACACTCACTAATGAAGAAATAGATGGCAAATAATATGAATATCTTATATCTTTAGGGGATTGCAATTAAAGCAACATGATACCATTACACACCTATTAGAATGGCCAAAATCCAAAATACTGATACCACCAAATTCTAGTGAGGACATAGAACAAAAGGAACTCTGATTCATTGCTGGAAATGCTATAGTCACTTTGTAACACAGTCTGGCAGTTTCTTACAAAACTAAACCTACCCTTACCCTATGAACCAGCTATTATACTCCTTGGTATTTACCAAAATGAACTGAAAACTTCTGTCCCACAGATGTTGACACAAATGTTTATAGTGGCCTTTTTTAAAACTATTTATTTATTTGACAGAGGGAGAGAAACAGCAAGAGAGGGAACACAAGTAGGGGGAGTGGGAGAGGGAGAAGCAGGCTTCCCGCGGAGCAGGGAGCCCGACGCGGGACTCGATCCCGGGACTCCAGGATCATGACCTGAGCCGAAGGCAGTCGCTTAACCAACTGGGCTACCCAGGCGCCCAGGCTTTTTTGATAATTACCAAAATCGGAAGAAATTAAGATGATCTTCAATAGGTGAATGGATAAACAAACTGGTACATCTAGACAATAGAGTATTATTCAATACTAAAAAGAAATGAGCTATCATGCCATGGAATGACATGGAGTCACCTTTTTTTTTTCTGGTAAGATTTTATTTATTTGTCAGAGAGAGAGAAAGAGAGAGAGCACAAGCAGGGGGAGCAGCAGGCAGAGGGAGAAGCAGGCTCCCTGCTAAGCAAGGAGCCTGATGCAGGACTCGATCCCATGACCCTGGGATCATGACCTGAGCTGAAGGCAGACGCTTAACCGACTGAGCCACCCAGGCGTCCCGACACGGAGTAACTTTAAATGCATATTGCTAAGTGAAAAATCCAATCTGTAAAGGCCACATACTGTAGGATTCCAAGTATATGACATTCTGAAAAAGGCAAAACTATGGAGACAGTAAAAGTATCAGTGATTGAAAGGGATTTGGAGGAAGGGAGGGGACGAACAGGTGGAGCACAGGGTGTTTTCAGGGCACTGAAAATATTCTGATGATACTATAATGGTGGAATACACGTATTTGTCAAAACCCATTCTATGTATGCATTACTGCACTTTCTAATGTACAACACAGAGCGAACCCTAACGTAATCTATGAACTTTAAGTAGTAAAAGTTTATCAACATTGGCTCATCAATTGTAATGAATATCCACACTAATGCAAGATGTTAGTAAGGGGAAGGGGGGGGGGGGGGGTGGGGGGGGGCAAGGGCCTCTATAGGAATTCCCTGTACTTTCTGTTCAATTTCTCTGTAAACCTAAAATTCCTTGAAAAAAGTCTTCTTCTTTTTTTTTTTAAGTGCAAAGGATTTCAATGAGCATTTCTTCATTAAGTGGCCAGTAAGGACATGAAAAGATGCTCAACTTTAATAGCCATTAGGGAATTATAAATCAAAACCACAATGAGATAGCACTTCACAACCACTAGGATGGCTAGAATCAGTAAGAGGGACAATAACGAGAGCGAGAGGTTGGATTCTGTCACGCACTGCTGGTGGGAACATGATATGGTCCAAGTGCTATGGAAAACAGTTTGGCAGTTCATCAAATAAACAGAGTTATCACATGACCCAACAATTCCACTTTTAAGTATATGCAAGAGAAAGGAGAACATAAGTCACATTTTGTACATGAATGTTCACAACAGCATATTCATAACAGCCAGAGTAGAAAAAACCCGAATGTCCACTAACTGAGGAATGAATAAACAAAAGTGGTATATCCATTCAATGAACTATTTGGTTCAGCCATAAAAAGCAACAACATATCTGAACCCTGAAAATATGCTAAACGAAAGAAGTCAGATACAAAACGTCACATTCTGCAAGATTCGATTTATATGAGATGACCCGGATAGGCAAATACATAAAGTAGAAAGTAGATTTTATGTAGTAGTAGAAGTAGTAGAAGGTAAATTTTATGGCATGTAAATTATATCTTAATTTAAAAAATATATAAAAGGATCTCTAAGCAGTTTTACTTCTTATCCCATTTGTTCATTGTGTAATTAAAGTTGATGATTCTGTTCAGAGTATGTGATCTGTTTTATAGTTTACTGAGAAATGATTCATGTGCACAAGTGGGTGTTAAATTACTTTTAGGGGAGAAAATGATTTAGCAAAGACTATTCTGGAGCATTAACTTACTTCTCACTAGGGTGTAAGTTTTTGAGAGCTGGTATACAATTATTAATTAGGGAAACGGTACCCATTATTTTATGAACAAACCCTGAATAAATGGGAAGTCCTCTGAGGTGGCAGTAGGTCATACTGTAACTTTTTTAAAAAAGATTTTATTTATTTAGAGAAAGCGTGCATGGGAGGCGGAGAGGGAGGGACAGAGAGGGAGGGAGAGGGAGAATCTCAAGCAGACTCCTTATTGAGCACGGAGCCCAACATGGGGCTCGATCTCACGACCCTGAGATCATGATCTGAGTCAAAATCAAGAGTCTGACGCTTAACCAACTGAACCACCCAGGCGACCTCATACTGTAATTTTTAAGCAAAAGGGGGCAAGGGAAATATTTGGGTAAACCTCTAACTGGGAGTCAATTTTTTAAGAGCTCAGTGGTATCTTCTTGATAGATAACTAAAAAAATCTTCCTGTGTCAAAAACTAGGGCTTTCCCCTAAAAAAAAAAAGGTGAACTGAGATTCTAGGAAAGTCTGGAATAACAAACAGACACTGGCCAACCTAAAAATATATCTAGCTACAGTAACTGAGCAAGACACCGGCATTAGTGCTCCAAACTCTGCCTCCCTCACCTGTCTGCCCCAGTTCCCCTCAGAGCAGCCTCTCCTAGGGTGACCAGACACTGGGTGTCAGCCTCTATATGGGACATAATTCAACTGTCAAGTACACATTCAGTAACATTCACAGAGGCCAAGGACAACAACAAGCACATGGATGTACTTTTTTTCTTTTTAAAAAATACAACAGTCATACGGTCAAAAACTAAAACCACATAGAAGGATATAAAATGAAAAGTAAGATTCCCAGGCTCCCCTGCTCTCCTTCGCAGATGTGATACTGATTAAGTTTCTTGTGCAAATCATCTTATTTCTGAAATGTTACTAATGTGACAGGAATATTATACAGAATATGTTCCTTATCTATAAAGCTTAAGTCTTCCAGAGCCTGCCTGCCTTTGTCAGAAACTGAGGTTAAATTCAGGTCCCAAATACAGAAACTTAAAATTTTCTTGCAATCTGAAATAGATGTTGGACCTAAATAGGTTCAACTTCTTCTTTTAACAAAAAATTCACACATTTTACCTTTTAAGCCAGATTTTATTTCTTTCTATCCATGGCAAAACAAACTCTTCAAAGATTTATACAAATACCAAAAGTTGGCAGTCACTTGGAAACAATCATTAATTAGATTAATCCATTAAGAAAATGCACTGAATACACTCAAGGTTAAAATGAAACAGTGACACAGGTATGATGCCTTGACAAATAAATCAACGGTTCTTGGTAAAACTCCCAATACTGAAGAGAGATATAAAAACAAATGCCCTGCCAATTCCAGTTTTGCCTGTAACGAGGTCTCGGCTGATCCTCAGATAATAAGGTTAAGAATGACATCACTGTAACTGGCAGGGGTGGTGGGGAGGTTGAAATAACCTGGGAATTGCAAGGGTGTGGGAAGTAATCCAATTAATAGCAACACCGAAAATATGTAATCTCACAACAAAATGAGTGCTGATTTGGAAAGTTAATGTCTGTGGGCATTTTTTTCCCCAAAGGGGGAGCAGAGCGAATGTGGGAAATTAATTTTTAGCAATATTCCTAGGACCTAAGGCAACCACACGTCTGGAGCTACTGAACCCTCCAAAGCCTCAGTATCAACAAGCTCTTCACATGGTCATTGTCCTAATATTTGAAACTGAAAAACGGATGCAGCCTTGCCATAGCCAACAAATTCAAATTCCTACTAATCAATCTCTGGTTCTTCATATCCCATCCCTATTTGTGCCCTTTCCAAAGATGCAAACAAGCTGCCCCTTGTGCAAGTGAAGCTCACCTAGGCTCAAGAGGCGGAGCGCGCCCAGGGCTCCTATCTCAGGGCAGGAGACGGCAGGTGATTGGAAAGGCAGCCGAGGCAGGACTTCCGTCGCCCCCGTCCGCAGTCTGCTGGGCTGCTTTTCAACCGGAAGGGGCTGGCGCCCTAACATCTCAGACTGAACAGTGAGCTGGTAAACAAGAGCCCTGCCAGCAGAGGGAAGGAGCCTGCAGAAGGGTTGGCCAGGCGGCTCTTCTCTCATCTTCGATGTTCTCTAGGAAAAGCTTCCTCTAAGGTGAGCCAAGTTCAGCGGCTCCTGACCTAGAGCAACTATGTGCCGCTCTGGGAGTTTCTAGCCACCTCACCGGATTCTCCTCACTCAGCTCTCGCCCCAACAGTGCTTGGCACCCCTGTCTGGGAAGCTCCTAGGGAAGCAGATGAAACTCATTAGGACATAGCCCATCAAAGGCAACACAAGTGTTCCACCAGCTGTGTACGGGGCCCTGCCCGCCACTGAGGCAAAGGCCACAGAAGAAATATTTTTACCAGAGGGCTGCACAGTCATTGTCCTCTTTGACTCTGTCTTCCTCTGTCTAGCTCTCAGCCCTGAAAGCCTCAGTCTGTCTTCACCATGTTTCATCTCCCAGAGGCACAAGCACTTCTTTTTAGCTTATGAAATCAGGCCTGTTGGGGTAGAGGGTAAGACCAAATGAACAATCCTCTGGACGGCTGGGAAATGGCTGCTGGGCTTTTCAGCTTCATGAGGCGGTTAGGCCGGCTGGGTCCTCTTCATCCATCGTCACGTCATCCGTGTTTTTCTTCTGTTCAGCCTCTGGCCCTGCAGGCAGAATGCTTGTGACGGTGTGAAGGAGGGCTTCGATCTGCTCCTCTGTGAGCCGTTCTTCACTCTCTTCTACCATCTGCAAAAGAAAACCTCTAAGAGTTACAGATGAGCCGCACAGGCGGAGTCCACCTCACCCTCCCCACCCATGTTGTTCCCAGTCCGCTGGCCTCTGGCATGCCGAGCTCGGGGGGCCTGGTTCCAGAGCCCCCTCGGGTCTCTGGGTCCTCTCCATCCTGGCTCCAAGGGAGGGAGAAGCCAGCTCCAATTCCTATGCGACTGCTCAAAATGGGTCGGGGCACAAAGCAAGTTGCAGGTTAGCATTTTTCTTCAAAGAAATAGAAAACCCAGGGGCACCTGGGTGGCTCAGTCATTAATCGTCGGCTCAGGTCATGATCCCCGGGTCTTGGGATCGAGCCCC